CCCGCTATCGCTTTGATCATGAAGACCCTTACACGTTCAATCATTACTGATCATTACTTATGTGAAGTTTCCACTTTTTTTTCTCTCCAATTTATTGCCTACTTGACTATTTAAAGAAAAAATAGTTGAAAATGGTTAATAATAATAATATAGACTAGGGATATAAACAACTATTTACTTTTATGAAATTATTTACTTAATAACGAGACCTAGGTAAACTAACCTATCTAGTAGTAAGGTTAGTCTCATAGAAAATCGTTTTGACAAAAGTTAGTAAAATATAAGTCTACTACTTACAAAAATTAAGGAAAGGTATTGCGAAAATAATAAATTTGTTGAGGAAAATGGGAAAAGAACTGATAAATATACACAACGTTAAAGTTTTTTTTTTCCTAAAGTAAATTGTGAAGTTTCCTCATTTTTTTTTTTAAATTTGTTGCCCACTTGACTATTTAAAAGAAATAGTTGAAGATGGTTTAAAATTATAAACAAGGGATATGAAAAATTATTTAACTATTTACATATAATGAAAATCAGAATGTATAATGGTTGTGAGGCCTAGGTAACCTAACCTATCCAGCAGTATTTTTAGTCTCCCCAGCCCATATGTTTAGTCGCTCCCCCCTCCACTTCTCGTGAATGAACCTTTGATTTCCGGATGTTCGGAAATCCGCAGCGCACCACCATCAGTACTTCATTCACTGCCTTACACGACAATTCGGAACGTCATTAGTGCAATTCCGATTGACCGTGTAGGGTCCCCTATAGGCCTAACCAGCTAGTCGTATTTTCTCAAGTCATCATTTTCATGTGATTTTCTTATGCATTTTCTACGATAATTTTTTTTTTATTTGGAGGTTGTACCAACTAAGAAACCAAAAGCACTTTTCAGTTTTTGACATTATTCATTTTTAGCTGAATAAGTTCAAGAAAGGTACCTACCTACCTATGTTATGGAGGCTGTGTCCCTTCCTTCCGTGTTAAATGTATACAAATTACAGTAGACATTAAAAAAATATATCTATTTGTTTCACAATAATCATGTTGAATTTTTACACATAATATGAACTACCGCCATATTTTTGTCCATCTCCTCCCAACCAATCAAAATTGAAAAATTGAAATTCAACTAGCGTTGCCTAAATACAAGATCAAGGCGAGTCTTGTTCTTGGTCTTGGTCTTGCACAAGAGTCTTGCAGCTACCTAGGCTTCCATCTTGGAATGGAAGAGTTGTAAAGTAAAGACACCAATTATTTAAATAAATAATCTGATGTGTCCTCTCATAACTTTCCTACCGATTTTTAACAATTTTAAACATGTTCATTAAAAATAACACAATTGAATTAGATTAATTTCCCTGAGAAATCATTACAAGTAAGATTTTTTTTTTATGAACTAAAGCAATGTAAACGGACAACTGAATAATTATTAAAATCAGCCTATACAATTAAATACACCATAACATTTTACTAAAACTGGCCTGATTGAAACGATTTTTTAAAAATAGTTTTATCGAAAATTTAATAACTTTTAAAAATGTTACCATTGAGATAGTACCGTCATTTTTTATAATGGGGAAACCTAGCTAAACCCCCACTGAAAAATTAGAGTTAAATCCATAAGTATATTCATGATCAAAACCTGTTTTGGAATCGCCATATTTCTCATATCTCTCGACGGACAATTTCCACCCTCAAACTATTCCATCGCTTCCGCCATCTCCTACCTCAACATACGCGTAGACTCCTAGTTTCCTCTTTCATTTTCCCCCACTTTGACTATAGCTGTGTGGTGTATGATGGCCTCTCTGTGGAGCTCCGTGATAGACTGAAAATACTAATGAACAGCTGCGTAAGATTTGTGATCGGGGCCCCAAGATACTCCCATGTTTCTCGCCACTACGCTGAGTTAAAGTGGCTTTTCCCTTCCTTCCGAAGACAATATTTCCTAGGTACGTTCCTCTACCAAATCATCAACAACCATCGTCCTTCTTACGCCTACAACCTTCTCCAGTTCAAATCCTCAGTTCATTCCCTGTCCACAAGATCTCGACCTTCTAACCTTTACATGCCTTCTCACAGATCTGCCTCATTCCAAAATTCCTTTATTGTTTGCTCTGTCAATTTCTGGAATTCCCTCCCTATCAAAATTCGACATTCCCCATCCATATCCACATTCAAAACTGTAGTAGACATCCCCCGGTATTTACTTCTTTGTGTGACATTGGGTAAGGGAATGAGGAGATAATATATAGGAATGTGAGGTTGCACTGTGAATTGTACTCAATTGTGCAGTGGACAATTGCTCATTAGAAAATCTCATATCGATAAACAATCGAAAAGAAGAAAAAAGGTCCGATCAGGTAGCAACAGATGGCGAGGACGACGCCAATACTTGAGGCCGGGACACAAACACAAGATGTCGTCTGGGAAGAGACTTACTACATTGAAGACTAAGAATATCAAGCTACAGTTATTAGACTTTAATATATTCACTTATATCAGTTGTCAAAATAAATTGTTTAATTATACCGGAGTGAATAGTCCTTTTATTTAGTTGTCCTATAGGCCTCACAATTGAAGAATAAACCAGGTGAGTCAATTCATTCAAAGTGTTTAATAAGTCCCACATTTCATATATGTACTCTTATTGTTTCTTCTCACACAGTGTCATAAAAGGTATTAGATTCCCGAATTCCCATTCACAGTTAAACACCCTCAAAAAGTCGATATCCAGTGCCGGGGTTTTGTTTTAATATTCAGGAGTGTAAATAACCTTAAGCCCCGATATAAACGCGGAAGGCTATTCGCTATTCCCGCCAAAACTAATCATTTTACAATTAACTTCCTGTAGGTTATTTGCAAAACCCTCCTATTCCAATTCCTATCCCAAAAAACAGTCAGATAGTTGCTAAACATTCGAGCTGATTTTAATAGAGAATTTGATACATTTTTATTTTTTAATTCTTTATTATTTTCTTAAAAGTGTATACTGGTCTATAAGTGCAAATAGCTTTAAGTGTCTTGTCATAGTATTAATTGTTTTGTATATAGTTTCGTTTGTTTTGTATATAGAATTTTTACCTTATATTTTTTTTACATTATTTCTTTTTTTCGATTGATTTTATTTGGCCAGATGTAATATTTTAATTTTGTTCTATTTTGTTATTCTCAAAGGACTGTGTCCCAGAATAAAGTTATTTTTTTTATTCTATTCTATTCTATATTGGTTTTAAAATTCGAAGAATTATACGCATAAGTATATTAGTTCTACCATTTCTTTACATATAGAAACTAAATTTGTCTAGTATTAATAACTATGTTGCCTTAATTATTAATCACAAAAAAGCTTTTTTATTTTTTTTAACCAGTCTTGATCTTGCAACAATTAGGCAATTGTTATTGGTATTGCAAAGTGTAAGACCAATACCAACTTTATAGAACACTAATTTTAACCTATGGAGAAAGGAATAAGCTAATTTCCATCGATGAGTTTAGGAACAATCTGATGTATTTTTTCTACCATTCATGAGCCCAGCTCTCAGTAAACGAACTTGCCATATGTCTTATAAAATAGAAAAAAAACTTAAATATCGACTCAGACAAATACATGACTGACTCACTAGGAAACGTCAATTAATAGGTCAGTCAAGTGAGGTCAGTTACTGTCGTTCATTTTAATGAATTGTTCCTCTTTGTTCGAATCAGATCAAAACACCACAAGCATTTTAATAAAAATAAACAAAACCTTCCTCGAGACTTTTAAATTACTTTTAGAGAGGTGAGTTGCAATTATGCGCCTTTAAAAAATAGCTCATATATTTATAATGTCAAAAAATAATCGTATGATTACTATAACGGCGTATCGATTTTTATAGAAGTTTATTCTTGGATTATCCGAAGCGTTTTTTTTTAATGAAAAATACAATAGATTTCAAGATTTGACTTTAGCAAATCGATATATTTTAACTTCTTGAATTTCTTCGATATTAGGGTCCATTGTAACTTTCCTACCTATACTAGGTAAGGAAAGTATTCCGATTGGATCAAATTTCCGATATGCGATTTTCGATGGATCTATACGTTTCAGAGCCCACTGAGTCCGAAAAACACATTTTTAGCCATTGGTCTGTCTATGCCCTGATTTTCTCTGGAACTACTGAACCGATTTTTGTGCTTCTTTTTTTTATTTTTTAGGGTTTTGACTACTGATGCATGTGACAGAAATTGGGTGCTCCATGCGCAATAGCTGCTGCGCAATAAATTAAAATTATGTTTTTCTATGGTCTGTAGCGCGAAAACGGCTATAACGATTTTGATGAAACTTTCTTATAATGTTCTAATAATTGTACTTTCAATTTTCGTACATGTACTGAATTCCCGAAAAAATTCAGATAAAAAAGTTATAAAGAAAAGAAAAATGTTTTGGGGCCTAACTCGTTAAGTATATATTCTATGGTAAAATTTATAATATAACTTTTGAAATGTTATTAAATTACCAACAAAACAAAAACAAAAATCATCAGAATCGAACCAGTATTAGCGATGATACAGCTTCTTCTATTTTCTATTATAAATTTTCTATATAGAAATCGTTCATTTCGGACAACTATTAACGAAGTTACAGCTATTCAATTTCCAATGTAAGATTACGGGTTCATATCCTGGTGTCAGAAAGGGTGGGTGAGTGAGAGAAAAAATATTACTAAGTGAAAGTAAGAAAATATTTTGCCCGCATCGCTATTTCATCTACTTTTAACAAAAATTATTGTTTGACAAAATTAAGCTATGGCAAAAAGTTTTTGATCAGCAATATTAAAAGGTATTAAAATTTTTACAATGATCTACCTTAAGCCGGTTTACATTGCATTAGGTCATCAAATAAATCGTAATCAATTCTTTTCTTTCGTCAATTTTAATTCACAATTCAACGTTGTATGTTTAAAAACATTGTAATCATGGTTATATATATATGCTTAATAATGCTATTTAATCTTTAGGAACAGTATCGGAATCAGAAGAAATTATCGTTAGGGGCCAGAAATGTCCAAAAGTTAGTGGAACCTGCACTGGTGAATGGGTCTCCTTTCAAATCTACGGCAGGTAAATTTATATCGAATTAAATCGATAGCAACATCACGATCGATATTATTTTATCTTTTTTTTTTTTTTTCTTACAGGTCTTACAATGATGTCGGGCGTCCAGTGCATGTTGCAAACGAAACGAGCAACATCACAGCAACGGGATTTAATCGGGATCTGGCCACCGCCATCTTGATTCATGGCTTTGCAGACTCGAGCAGATCATTCCTAATGGTTGACATGAAGAATGGTATCTTTAATTATTGTATTTATTTATTATTAATAAGTGAACTTAAATGACAAGAAGTATTTTGAATGCATACAAGCTACTCCACCCCTTTTAATACTTCAATACAAGACGGAATTTAGGAGAGTAAGTGGAATGATCAGATAGGAGTGAAGTAATTTTGTCAGTACTTCTGTAAGGTCCATAACAGCAATTTTGTTACCTTTGTCAGCTCTGGTTATAATGATATTGTCACGTATTTTATTCGGCTGAATCTGGTAAAAGAATGGTCTTCGAAAAATTCAGGAGAAAAAACTGAGGGGAATGATGGGTGTTCACTAACGTCTTTAATATTTTTTTTTTTGGAGGGGTGGAATTCAGCCCGAAAGATATATATATATATATATATATATATATATATATATATATATATATATATATATATATATATATATATATAAAATATTAAATAAGTGATTATTAAATGTAATTACACGAACAATAATTCTTTTTTTATAAGTAATTTTTCTAATATTTCTTACATAAGACATGGTTATGTTTTTCCATTTTGGGGATGGACTTCAGCCTGGAATCTCCCCTTCTGCATCCCCCATAGATCCGCCTAGGTGTATACGGTAATTGAAAATAATCTTGCAAATGGAAAAACGTGATAACTCCTTTATAGTCTGTGGTACAGACCCCTTTTATAGAATTCGTAACACCCGCCTGAAACTTCGTAAATATTTTCATCTCATCGTAACCTATAACTATTTTATTTACGAAAAATCTTGGAACTGGGATGTTTTCAACCTAGAGGGGCAGGGCAAAGTTTGTCTATTTAATTAGATTCTAAAAATTCGTAAATACTCATTTGCTTTCTGCTTGGATCGTGAGATAATTTGATCGCAAAATCGAGAGAAAAGGTGATCCTCAAAAATATTGAGCCGTTTGGCGTTATCTACACCACCAAAATTTCAAAATAACGGTTATATAGGACAAACGGCACAATATTTTTATAGGCCACCTTTTTTCTCGATTTTGTGATCAAATTATCTTACGATCCAAATAGAAGCAAATGAGTATTTACGAATTTTTAGTACCTAATCAACTAGACAAAGCTTGTCCTCCTCCAGATTGAAAACGCCCCATGTCAAAGAGTTTTTGTAAATAAAATAGCTGTATGTTACGATGAGATGAAACTATTTACGAAGTTTTGGGCGGATGTTAATAATTCGATAAAAAGGGGTCTGTACCACGGATTATTATTTTATTTCAAAGAGGTAAAAAGGTCATTTAAATAAATATATTCTAGCTCTATGATAAGTTTTAAGATCATTTGACAGAGGTGTTAGATTTTGGAAAAATTGGGGCTAAACTTAAAATTTAAAAAAAATTTAGAGGAGATAAATTTTATATTTAATTGTTGATTGGTTTACCCAAGCATCCTGCTACCTCAATAAGAACACTTTACACATGCCAACGATCAATGAACACATACGAACTTACTACAAACGATTTCATAATAAATTACATGGACACTCCAACCAGCTAATTAAAAAAATGGCCCGGACTATTATGCCGGAGAACTCAAGAAGACGACCGAAAAACGTCTGGTTGAGGGACCTACTTTCATAATTGTATGTCAGTAAGTAAAAGCCATGGAAGGGATGCCGCTGGATATTGCTTTTCCTCATGCATATCAAGCCTTTTTATTTTTTTTTTATTATTATTTTTTTTTTTAAATTTATTTATTTATTTTCTCATGGCTGTGCCAGCACATCTACTGATTGTCGGTAGTTGTAATTGACAGTTGGGGATAAATAAATGAAAGTGCAAAAAAAAAAAAAAAAAAATGTTGATTGGTAAAGGTCGTTAAATTTGGGAATTAGTTGTTTGTTTTTTCTAGGTTTGGTCAAATAAAAAATATTAGAAATGAAAATAGAAAGATTGTTCATGTCGTCTTGATTTATGTCAATACTTAAAAACTAGATGAAAGTCGTAATTGTTTCATTGAGACACTGAATATTGTTGATGTGTCCACGTCAAATCAATGACTGAATTCTTCAAAACATTATTTCCAATTATCTTACACGCCCCCCCTCTTTATCCTTCCCTCAGTTCTTTTTTCTCTCCTAAATTTTTCAATGACCTTTCTGTCATCCGATCTTTCCTAAAATCCTATGCCAATATCATTGTAATAAGATCTGACAAAGATAACAAAACTGTTTATCATTAGCCGTACTGAATTTACAGACAAAATAACTTTATCTGACCATTCCACCTCCTCTCTAAAAAAAACAATTAAGCCAACATCTTAAAAATATTTTAAATTTCGAAACAAGACTATTTTCCATTTTATTTAAGCAATACATCAAACTAATTTATTATGCCATGTGTGTTATTTGGATTTAAAAATATTTATATAATCCTATATATTATTTCTAAAAGGTGTTTTTTTTTTTGTCGGTACGCCATAACATCGTCAATTCTTCATCAAATCCAATGATTGACCACTAATTTTGAAGATATTCTGCTCCTTCCCAGGAAAATAGTCCTATCCCTTCGAAATTTCTGGAAAAAAAGTTATGGAAGAAAAGAAACTTTATTTGCGATGACTCAAAAAGTAATAATTTTTCTCTTGATTGTAAAATTCGGACAATTATTAACAAAGAAACAGTCCATTAGTTTTGATATACTCAATAATGTCTTCCTGTTTAAAAAATATTGCATTTAGGAGTAGAATAGTCTACTACACTTTTTTCCTGGCTTTTATATTAATTTTATTATTTCTTAATGACATTTGGTTGTTCTTACATTTTATTTTTTTTAATAATTTTGAATATCCTATGATCGGGGTATTATTTTGTCTTTATTACTTTTATTGTCTTTGCACTCAGCGTTTAAAACTAGGTCCTAGCAAAGGAATATGTATAAATATTTTGGTCTATTATGTTTAATGGAATATTGTAATCGACTAAGGAAAAAATATTAATTCCTTCTTTACATAATACTACTTTTTTTCATAATGTTTTAATATTCTTCGCTAAACAAAATTATCTGTGAATTTTTCGGATGGGCCAATTAGTAGGTATATAATTTGTATTACACTTCAGTTAATCTTAGTCTGGTTCAATTTTAACAACTGAAATTAATCGCCTATGAGTTGTCTTTTACAATTTATTTACTCAGAAAAATAAATTGTACTTTGTTTCTGGAGCCGGAAAAATTAGAGTAAATAGAAATAAGTGTTGAGAGAGTTTTCCTGTACTATGTCTTCTGCTTGGCATTACAGAGATACATCCTCACATGTCAGTTTTCCTCACTACTTCAGCTGTTATCATGAAATTATCCATTAAATAATCGCATAATAAATCAAACATTAATATATATGATTCGTTATCGCAACAGGAAAAAAAATGAGTTTATTCAATTGTAAATCACATCGTATGTTGAAAAACGGAGTTTCTCAATACTTGATGTAGATGGCTTGGGATCTATCTAAGATAAAGGTAAAAAAAAAATATAAAAATAAAATAAGGAAGTTTTAAAACGTTTTTATTTATTTATACAAACGGCCGAAACACCCTTTGCCATTCAGAAAGTTGAAAGATTAGTTTCCACAATGTCTTATCGATTTAGTATTGCATAAATGAAGACCAAGCTGTGTCTTGGTCTTGCGCACTTAGTCTTGGTTTTGTACAAAAATCTCGCAACAGTCTTTCAGCTAGCTATTAGCCTATTACTATAGAGATATTACTGTAATTTTTTAGATAGGAGAAACGTTTATTTTTTATTTTTGGCAAGTCTTGGTCTTGTAAAGTGCAAGACCAAAACCGATTTTGGGCAACATTAATCACACCCAAGATTTATTACTGGGTCTCTTTTACTTTTCTACCAGCTACTAGATAAGGAAGATATGAGATTGGATCCAATTTTCGATATGAGGTTTTCGACGGATCTTTAAGTTTAAGAGCTACTTGAATGTGAAGAACACGATTTCTATCATTGTTAACTCGATCTGATTGTACCTAGAATATCTCTAGAACGAGTTAACCGATTTTGTTGCTTCTTTTTTTGTTTTATAGGGTTTTGACTACCGACGTATGTGACACAAATTGGGTGTTCCCTGCACAATAAGATAAAAACATGTTTATCTAAATAAAAACAATTCGATAATTTTTTTGAGTTGAAATACTATCTTCAAAAAAGTGCATACTTCTTGAGTTATTCGGAAATCTAATTTTACATTATGTACATATATTTGAAAGGCATTGAAGAGAAGACTTTGGCCAACTTTTATTGAAATTGGTAGATTCGTTTAGGTGCTACAGTCTATACAACAAGGTTTTTTGGCCGCCATCTTGAAGGAAAAGGGTGGATACTAATGCCGAGGTAGAAGGATCACCCTCGGGTGACCTGTGATTTTGATTCCAAATTTGAAAAAAAATTGATCAAGTAGTCTGGGAGACAAGCCGCGGACGGCAGACAGACAAGTTTTTTTGATTCGATTTTCATGTTCTACGTATTGAAACGTCCCCGCCTTCCTCACGCCTCCTTATTCATATAAAGAGTTGGTTAAAATTTAATGAAATTGATATGGAACCATTTTAGATGCTAACCCGCACAATCTCTGAAAGTTTCATGAAAATTAGATTAACGGTAGTAGGTGATATGGCCGTTACATCGATTTGACTACAGACAGATTCCGAACAAAATTTGATCCTTGATGTCTGAAACGTAAAATGTGAGTTGAAATGTTCGATTCTGAGCACAAACTTTTTTTTAACCTCTCGCACGAATACAATGCTTCCCTAACTTCGGTAGTGAGGAAGCAAAAAATCGTTTAAATCGAGCCAGTTTTAGGAATGTTACAGTGTATTGAATATTTTAAGTTAATTTTAATAATAGTCCACTTGTCTGTTTACATTGCTGTTGTTCATCAAAGAAATCGTATTATTATAATTTCTCTGACCGATTTTAAGGAAAAGCATTCTAATTTTTTTTTTTTTAATTGCCATATTTTA